TTTCGTTCTCATAATGTTTCTATTAACCCTGGTAAAAGTGTCTTCGCGGCGACTTAACTTTCTCGTTTAGGTTATTTGGTTGATGAGTCCGGATTCCGTCCTGACCCTAATCGATTTTCTTCGTTGACCAATGCTCCATCTCCCAAGCCATTCCATGAACTTCGATCTTTGATTGGTTCCTTACAAGTGTATTCCTGACTTTCAACCCAAGCTTCTCCATTGTTCGATTTACAGTCACAGCAAACATTTCAGAGGACTTCGGTCAATGAACGTGCTTTGAGGCATTTACTTTCTCTTTCCCACGATTACATCCTACCGTCATCTCGGAAGCATCGCCCGTTGGAATTGGAGCAGAATGGCCAACCGGTGCTGTGCATCTCACGGCTGCCGAATGTGGGTATTCCCAAAATCAACGAGAAGCTCTAGCTGTCTATTGGGCTGTCACGCGTATGTACAAGTAACTACATGGTACTCATTTCACAATTGTGAGTGATTATGAAGCACTGCAGTTCATTTACAACCATCAACGTTCCCTGGTTATGTCATCTGCAGCGATAGTACAACGTCAGAGGAGGCTCCTACGGCTGACTGTCTATTCACTCAACCGCTCCAGGTAAGCCGATCTGATCTAGTTCGCGAGACCACGCTATCATTTTCTGTGTCCGTTGAGGTGATATCAAGCGTCGATTTCCGGAATCCTATAAACTTCGTGAGGAAATTTTTGTGACTTGTGCTACAATGATCAAGTCGTACCTCCGACATTACGTACGGCTGTTCTTAATGACTTACATTCCGGTCATCTTGGCATTGGAAAGATGAAATCTATCGCTCGTCTCACATGCCGGTGGCCTGAATTGAATCATGATCTGAATCGTGTTGCAAAATCCGGTGCTGATTATGTGCAAAGAACTCACCGACAACCTTCGAAATGGACTCCGTGGCCAGTATCCTCCGATTCATGGCAAAGAATACATGTGGATTACTTTAGTCCATTCTTCAACAAGTATTACGAATTGGTGATCATTGATTCTCATTCCCGTTGGCCGGAAGTCCACTTTACTACATCACCCAGTTCAGAATTTACTATTGGAGCACTCAGGAAAATGTACAACAGAGAAGGTGTCCCGCATGCTATCGTGACTGACAATGAAGGTCATTTTACTGCCAAGAAAGTTACCGATTGGTTGAACTCCGTGAGTTGTGAGCCTGTTCTCACTCCTCCCCGACATACACAATCCAAGGGCGCAGCCGAAAACTTTGTGCGCACGTTGAAGAGTGTCACTGCTTCCTTGAATCCCAATACATTCGATGAACTCGATAGAGGCGCTGATAACTTTCTGATGCAATACCGTAACGCAGTACGTTCAACTACGGGACACAGTCCAGCAAAGCCGTTCATGAGTCGAGTACTTCGAACCAATCTTCTACACTTGGAGTCTGCGGAAGTCGTGTATCATCGTTGTAACCATTTACGGCCCTCCATAGGCATTTTACTAGACCATATGAGACAAAGAGTGTCGCATATTGGATGTAGACAATGGTACTGTATATCGTAGACCTGTAGACCAATTAATTTGTAATTTGCCTAATCCTGATACTAGTTGTGATCCTACTAATCCCGTTATTTCTGAGTCTTTTTTCAGGTGAAAACTCCAGTACAAATAATGAAGATAGTACATGATTACCTAGAAGATGCGAACGATTACTCAACAAAGCCCGCCGTGATTACAGAAAACCGGAGCTCCATTAAAGCTGCGGCGGATGTGTTGATTGCTCATGAACTATGAACTCCTTTGTTTTATTGAACACGATATCCTTGTACATTCCGAATTTCCGCTTCTTACAGTGCTATCCCGTTATTGAGTTCTGTGCTCTGATTTCGTCTCGAGTCATGGTTCTGGGTTGGACTATTACTGCGCGGATTCCGATACATATACGAATTACTAATCCGAGTTCTAACCATAACAGAAACACTGGAATCTCGATCGCAGGTGTACGATTCAATACTGCAAGGTTCAGCTAATCTACCTGCTTATTATGAATGGATGGAATGTGCAGTAGTGAGAGTACTGCTCGCAGATCACCTACTGGTTAAACTTAAATGACGATTATCACAGACACTATGAGCTCCTACCACCACAAGGGTAAACCGCTGTCCGGTTCAATGGTTGCTTTTCCAGCCGTAAAACATTTCGTATGCCCTTCCGGTTTCTAGTATCAAAGCGACAATCGGAAGATAAATCAGTCTTTTGTTCCGTAGATTTCTCTCGGTTCCGTATGACTGAAAACTGAAGAAGACTAAATTATTCCGCCAGGGTCGATTCNCTATATGGGGCTCATGTGCTCTTATATTGTACAATGATGCGCAGACGATAATGTGCGACTGTCAACAAGGAAGGGAAAAGGTTTGGGGGCTCAATCATAGATATATCAAAGCGGCATTGTAACCAACCACAGCAACTAAGGATCAGGTGGAGATAACTATGAATACTGAACGATTGATAAGGACTGATCATCCTTCAGCCTTCACCTTCAAATACATTCCTCAGCTCCTCCAGTCAACTCGGAAGCACCAGACTCCAGTTTCACTCTTATTGCATATCCACCGCCCCGTCCGGGATTTTTACTCCGAACCCACCGCATGGAAGGCGTGTGTGTTATCACTGTACCAACCAGCTCATGCCAGGAGTAAACCGCATTGCCAATACATGTTTGTTCAGGTGTCGTCCTCGGAGATATTCAGTCAGTTCAAGAGCTCGGGAATGTGCGTGAAGATGACGTCTGAAGGATGATCAGTCCTAATCAATATCACTTATTCCACAACACCACTCACAAGTAATTACGAGTTAAACGAAATTATAAGTTTGAAATATTTCTGAAATAAATAAATTCATAGACAAAGCCATATCTACCTACCATTAAAATCACTTCCCAACAGGAGCCAAAGTCCTAAAAAAATTGTCACGTTGTCGCCGAAATCATCCCATGTGAAGCTTTTCTGTCGCTCCCGAGTTCTGATTGTCATAACAACATAAGGACGCCATCACAAGATCATTTTGAAACCGAGTAGGTATTCACTGGTCCCCTGAAGGGCTCACCTACCTGAGAAAATCATTTGGATCGATGGGCCGATTCCGACAGTCAGAAGTGAAATCAGTTAGCTAGTACGACCACGCATCATTTGGCAGTAGCGCCAATTCGCTAAAATGGCCTCAGCCTATTCGCCATACTTTCGTGGGCAAGAAGATTCAATTCGACCGTTAAGTGACCGAAGTTCGGACATTCGTATTCAGCCGTAATGTCGATACACTTTTAGCGACTAGGTGGTTGCTGATGCCCGTCAGAACCTGGCACCGTTTGCTCACGTTCTTTCTGGATATCCGTACCGGGAAGAAATAGAACCAAGGATTGGGATTGTAGAAACGTTATATTCAGGAACTTCCGAAATGTTTGAAGTGAATTTGTCTAGTTTAGGCTGGTATTTGAGGAACGGCAGTGGAAATCTGAAAGTAGATCTGATCAGTGTAAGGAAAGCGTGCAATACGGAGCTCACTGTGGGGAACTGTACCGGTGCGGTCTTTTCGAGCTTTTTCCCTGAAAGATCACAATCGCCAAATAATGGTGATACATGCTGAATCTCGACGGTACACTTGATTGTGCCCGGTAGAAAAGGATGGTCCTTATGTTAGAAGGAAAAGATTAACGGTGGCTCAGCTTTTGTAATAATCGAGGGGCTAAGTCGCTACTTGATATCACAACCTTGATGGTTCTGATAAGCATGCCATGGTTATCTAACCATGTCCTGATAGTCTTGAATTACACATAACGGGCTGGAAACTAAACCTGTCTTGAAGCTAGCCACACCAACGTAGGTGAAGGTGCTTTTGGTTCGTGATTTGATGATCACGTCCAGCTTGAATGGATCTAACAGGATACTTAGAGAATAACAAGAAGCAAGAAAAGAAAACTGCCGTTGCGAAACTGTCCGTTGAAGAGCCGCTACACACTGAGCATTGTGCAAACGATGGTTAGTCAAACCAAGAGCAATTATCCTAGATCACTTTTCTCGTATAATTGTAAACTGATTGCAAATTTCACGGATTCTGTTGGACATAGTTCCTCCTGATAAGTACTTTCTTTTGGAACAGCCTACAGGCCGTTTTGTGTTTTACTTTAACTTGCTATTTGCAAGATATCACGTGTTACGTATTCCGTCTTATCATCCAAATAGACAGTCACAGGATTTCAGAAATCTATCTCAGTTGCACGGTCCTATGGCTGAATTCATTGAAAGCGAAGGGAATGTGAACGACGGAGAGTTTCTTCGTTTAAATGCCGGTTTAATGGCCATCAGATGGATGTATAGTTCTAATTGTTTAACAGGTTCCTGATGTTAGGATTCGATCCGCAATAATATCTTTTCTTTTGATTTCATGTGCGACTATTTACCAGTAACGAATGCCTTACAAAAAAGGAATAGGAGTGCACAGCCCACGCGGTACGCTTGCATCAACTGTTTGATGGACTTTTGATCTCCTGTTGGATCAGGAATATAACATCCAGGTTCACTGTTACATAAAAATCATTTTGCGAAACAAGTCCAACAACCTTGACCAGTTCCACTGATCCAGTATCCAGTCCTCCCTTCCCCATTTTACATCTGTATACCAACAGGAAAGACGCAAATTGATCATTGTACATTATTTTTGTTGTGAAAAAAGGTTTGAGAAACAATGCGAGTAGATTACCCCACTCGCTCAATTTAGTCCGTAGAGCAGTCAAAGTATTCTGATAATATATATATATATATATATATATATATATATATATATATATTGATATGCAATAATCAGCAACATCCTGCACAGATCGACTGACCGTCACAAGATTCGCAAATGACAGATTTGCAGAAATCATGAAGCCAGATAAGCGTGGGGAAGCGAAAATGTTACTTCATTCCGTTTCTTTAAATGTTTCAGTTAGCATTGAACACTGCAAGCTCACATCTGATTGGTCAGAATCGCATGGTAGTCGGCAAACAGCGGTGAACTGCATATTGCTTCCCACATCTTTTGTGCATACGCGATCCTGTATAAATCAAAATCGTTCATGATAAACATCGTCAGTAAGGATAACAGAAGAAACTGCACATTTAAAAGAAGCAACATTTTATCCTGTCAAGGAGTGTATGGAAAAGCTTTTTGCAATATTATGTAATGCTATACAATTGACAAGATGAAGAAAAACTTGTGCGATGTAAGTGGAGTTGCATAAGACCGATGTTATCCATTTGGAAAGACGAATACTCCAAACAGACAAACGTTTTGTGATTTCGTGCGAAGAAGTGACTGACCAGAGTTGAATAAAGGTTTGAGAAAAAAATTCGGGTGGGGGAGGTGTACAAGTATGACCGCTCATCATGAAAGGATTATTTTAAAAGTGTCTATCGTCCGTCCCAGGGTGGTGTCCGGAACCCTTTGGTGAATACCAATGAAAACGAGCGTCAGACGCTGACCGTGAGGGAAGACGAGGTACGGACTGAGCTCAGAAGCCTGTGAAATCATACGGTGGCGGGTGCGGATCAGATCCACCCAGCTGTTGTCCAGCCCCTAGCTGAAGTCCTACTAGGACCCGTCACTGAATTGTTTAAGGCCTCACTAAACTCGGGGGTAGTCCCGGAGGATTGGCGGAAGGTAACCGTTGTAGCAATATACAAATCGGGGTTCAGACAAAAGGCGGAGAACTACAGGCCGGTCAGTGTAACATCAGTGCTGTGCAAATGCCTTAAACGAATAGACAAATTTGTGCGCACCTGGTAACTCATAGAGTTCTAACTCCTGTGCATCATGGGTTTACCAGATATAAGTCGTGTTTAACTAGTCTACTTGTTTCTGGACGAAACTACATGTTGTCTAGACCGCGGTAGGGCACTGAAGGTAAGTTACTTAGATTTTAGCAAGGCTTTTGACTCGGTGAGTTTTACGTTGCTTGACAGGAAACTACTAACGTTTGGAATAGTTGGGTCAGCGCGTCAATGGTTGAAGCAAATTCCCAGCAACCGTAGTTTCGTTGTGCGTGCGGGTAGGCAGCTACACATCGCAATCAGAGAGGATTATAAGCGGGGTGCCTCATGGCTCGGTTCTTGGGCCCCTTCGTTTCATCAACGACCTTGCGCTAAAATTGCACAACCCCTCCTTCACCTTTGCGGAGAATGCGAAGATAGCGGGCGAGAACTTAGCTCAGGACCTAGATGCAGTCCGCAGTTGGTCGGCTCGATGGGATATATCCATGAGTCTTGCCAAGTGTCAGCTACTAACAATGTAGATTCAACCGGAAACACAGCACTACGAGATGTGGCGGAGGTCAAAGACCTAGGTATAATTGTCACGAAGGACTTCCGGTCTACTAGGCAATAACAGGTGGTCACAAATAAAGCCAGAGGAGTAATTTTCAGGCTGCGTACCACAGTCACTTGCAGGAAGCCAGAGATGTTTGTTTCACAGTACAAGGCAATGGTGTGTCCACTGTTGAAATACTGCGTGCAAGCCATACTATAGCAAAGATATGGAGTGTTTAGAGCAGGTACAGCAATTGGCAACTAGGATGGTCACAGGACAGGCAGGAAAGAGACACTCAAAGCGACTACAGGACTTCAATCTTTTCTTGCTGTCACGCCGCAGGACCAGGGGCGAAACCTTCAAGATAGTCAAGGGGTTGTCCGGTATAGAATTAGGCAGCCTATTCGTCCCTGCTCCAGAGGTAATAGCCTTAAGCTGCAAAGATAGCACTCCAGGCTGGAATTGAGAGTAAGGTTCTTCACAAAAAGAGTGGTGCTTTTGCGGAATAGATTGTCGATGAATATCATAAACTGCACCACAGTGGTGGCTTCCAAAAAGGCACTGGATCTGTGCTGGAACGTGGTATTTCCAGAACTGACCACTTGAGAGGCGATGAAGGGACAAGGTTAGTTCATTTTATACTTATTTATTGACCTTATTTATGCATATCCGGTGGATGTGATACTGTACCTAAAAACTCTGCCTTCCAGGAACAAAGCAAAATGTTTGACGAGCAGTGTTGGAAGCCAAAGCAGCTAGCTGACAACACAACGATCTGGACGCACGATTAGTCTCAACTACTTCCGTCCTGCGCAAAGTGAACTGAACTGAATTAAATCCACTACTGATCAATCTATAAGACAATCAATCTGGTTGGAAGGAAGAAAACTAATAGTTAGATCCAGATTGTTTCCAACTGAATGATAGACCCTCCGGAGGCTGGTGTTGACAACAGTAAAATATGACGCCCGCAAAAAGCTAGCAATGAGTTGTGTTATATCGAGTACAGTTCTAACCGGCGGCCCGGTGATCAAGTGGGCAGTAGACTTGCGCTCTTATTGTGAGTTACCGAGGNTTACCGAGGTGAATCGTCAGTTGGGTCAATCGACTCCAACGGCTAACGGCACCAGAAAGGGTCAAAATAACAGTAAAGTGTTCCCCAGCTCTGTGAAGGACTAAATTCATTACATAAGAAGAAAAAGTCCCCCAATGCAAAGGCAGTTGTGTTCGGGGACACCACAAAAGCGTTGCGAAGCAGACTGTTTATCAATGGATCCCCGACTATCAGAAAAGGAGCACAACTCACAGAGGGAATAAAAAAAATTGATAAAACAAGCATGAATCTAGAAGTTCTATCTAGTCAGGATGGAAACATCCGCGTCCAGTTCAGTAAGCCAAGAAATGGTTGGTATTGTGTACAATATAAGATCGCTATCTCACCAGTAAGCTTCTTTCAATCGATTGGCCTTGAAGTCATGCAACTTGATGTAACCACTCGTGAAGCATGGTAAAACGGTGTGTGAAGCAGCAAGAGGGTCCGTATTGGTTGACCACGTATATAGAACAAGGTTCAGAAGTTAAAAGGAAATGAGAAATGTATTTTAGACCGAAATGTTTAACGGAATATTGCTAAAACTGAATATCTAAGACTGTTTGTATGTCACTGTCCCTGCGTGACCCATCGAAACGAGGAAGATAATCAGCCATGTGTAGAATCATTTCACCAGATAGTTATCAAATGGCACTGAAAAAACTAACCATTTGCGTTCTGTGAATTGAAGCATCATATGTTGTCTTGGAGTGGACATAATTGCCTCTTGTAGAACACGAACTGAGGATGCGTAGGACGGACAACCGGTAGGTGGATGACCTAAAGGAGTACCGAAAACAAGATCAAGTAATGAGACCGACAAAGACACCACAAACATAGTGCATCCAGAACAATCATATTTTGGAGTAACCTGTACCCTGATCCTGGATTCATCTGAATCCTTCAAATACAGTTTAGCCTCTCTCGGATACGTTTATCACTGCGACTAATCTATCTCAAACAAAGCAATCTGTCACGCGAATTAAAGGTGGACATCTCGTATTTATAATTGTGTGAAGAAACTTCGAATACGAACACTCAGGTGATTCAATAGTAATGAATTTAACTTTTTATCAATGTCTTTTCCCTATTCTTCTTCTCCATTATTCTCTATCATTGTCTTTTTGCGATTTCCATAAGAGAGTTGAAAATTCTTCGCCGCAGACTGGCGATTATGACTAGTACTTCATCCATAAAGTTCGAGCAAATATCTATAAAATAGCGTGAACTAGACTCTTCCGCAGGGGAAAACATCAGCACGGAAAATATTTTCTGAAACCACCTATCCTCTGCATACCTACGTATCATTATCACCCTTCTATAATGATTCTTTTCAACACTTACAGAATCCTCGCAGATCGATCCAGGATATTTGCTCCATTCTCCACCACAAATTTTGAAGATTTACCTTCAAACGATTATTGGTATTATTATCTTTTCGACAGAATTAATTGCAAATTAGCCTGAAATGCGGATAGTTGTCTGTGCAAAAGACTCAACAAATACAAAAATTGAGCCTTAATATTTCGCATTTCACACTATTCACACTAAATAAAGAGAAACCCATCTTTCGGCAAGAGCTTATTGTTACAAGATTGAGAAAACTGAAAAAGAACTCTCCCATAGCTTTTCCGACAGAGTACTCGATCTTAATTTGTTAGGGTTTATTGTTGGGTAGATTTGTGTCGATATTTGCTTACCCTCATCATCGACTTCTGGAATAAGGAATAGCCGGGGATGGTTTAATCGTTGCTGGACATCAAAAAATTGGCGGCGTATGGACTCAACCCGATGTGTCAAGTGCGCTAAGCGTGCATTTAGGCGTTCGCCATCTAATTGACCAGTAACTGGTGGTGCCTTTGAATCGCTGTCTTCACTGTCTGACGAAAGAGACGATTCAATGGAGGATTGACTTGAAGGTTTCTGGACAGATGATGCAGATAACGGTTGCTTGAGCAGTTCCGTCATGTCGCGTTCCACATCACGAAGAACAGTGCGCAATTCAACCANNTGCCTCAGATGGGGCATGTGGACTTTTGATGTTTGGTTTCCGATCGGAATTCTCGAAGCTGTGGATGAACGTCAGATGTTGAATTTCCGGGAGTTGTGAGTAGAAAGTATGATGAAAACAACGAAACAATGGATTGAGATTAGCAGACACAGATGGACGATAAGAACTAGTCACGCTAAAAGTTTGGAATCAACTTCCGCATGTTCGCACGCAATAACTTACGAGGTCGTACGTTAGATTGCCAAGACATTCTCTCTCCATGGTTTGGTTGCCCACTAGACATGCTATATACAGGAAAATTAGGAATTCCAGCATACCGTAGAGATTCTCAAACGGCCCAAGTGGAATTCTAAGCTTCACTACTGGAAACAACCAGAGGCTAAAAGTCACAGATTATTATTATAAGGGTAGTGGTAGCGTAGTGGTTTAGTCGCTGTCGCCGGCGTGCTTTGGACCCCATGGTCCGAGGTTCGAGCCCCGCCACCGCCACCCAAATTTGGTGGTAGGCAGCTCTGCTGTCATCGGGTTCAATACCACAGGGTCTTATGTGGTTCACCACTCCAAATCCCGTGGCTTAGTTTGCCGGTTTCCACCACTGAGCAACAGGTCCTCGTGACTATAGGGTTCGCCCCATCTGCTTTTCATTACACTTGAGTGTGTAATAAAAAATAGACTTCTGCGTAGCTGACAACTTTAAACGATACTCCGACGTCTTGAAATGATAATCGGATACCTTGATGTCAGACTGCTTAGCTTTCGTGCGGTTCATTATCACGCCTAACCTAACGGGGACTTATGTGGATCGCCACTCCAAGTCCCGGGGCTTAGGTTACCGGTTCCCATCACTGAATAGCAGGTCCTCGTGATTATGAGGTCTACTCTGTCTGCTTTTCATCACACTTAGGTGTGTAATAAAAAAAATGTTAGTGTACAAATTGACACTGNTGATCTGAGGGAGGCCGTGTGCGCATGCGCCCGTGCACCAAAGCTGCGTTCAAGCTACGAAACAAACGGATCTGTTATTTTTAACTAATGGTTTTGTCTGCACTGAGTGATAGTATTTATTGCGACAATTATACATATACATATGACAATAAGTAGTATGTGAATGACTGGACAAAATTTCCCTCGAAACACAAGAAGGGTTCAGCGGTTCTTGCAGGTCATCAGGCATGCGTATCCGGTAATCTTTCGCCAGTTCCTTCATATAC